TCCCCATGTCCCTGTCCCCATGTCCCTGTCTCCATCCCTATGTCCCTGTCCCTGTGTCCCCATCTCCCTGTCCCTGTCCCCATGTCCCCATCTCCATCCCTATGGCCCATGACCCTGTGTCCCCATGTCCCTATGTCCCTGTCCCCATGTCCTCATCTCCTATCCCCATCCCCTGTCCCCATGTCCCTATGCCCTGTTCTCATGTCCCCATCCCTGTCCCCCTGTCCCTGTCCCCGTCCCTGTGTCCTCATCCCCATCTCTATGTCCCTGTCACCATGTCCTGTTTTCATGTCCCCATCCCCGTCCCCATGTCCCTGTCCCTATCTCCCTGTCCCTATGTCCATCCCCATGTCCCCGTGTCCCTGTCTCCATGTCCCCATCCCCATCTTTATGTCCCTGTCTCCATCCCCATGTCCCCATGTCCCTATCTCCATCCCCATGTCCCTGTCCCCATGTCCCCACGTCCCTGTCCCTGTCTCCATCCCTACGTCCCTGTCCCCATGTCCCCATCTCCCTGTCCCCATCCCCATGTCCCTATCTCCATCCCCATGTCCCTGTCCCCATGTCCCTATCTCCATCTCTATGTCCTTGTCCCCATCCCTGTGTCCCTGTCCCCGTGTCCCCATGTCCCCATCCCCACGTCCCTATCTCCATCCCTATGTCCCTGTCCCTGTCCCTGTGTCCCCATCTCCCTGTCCCTATCTCCATCTCTATGTCCTTGTCCCCATCCCTGTGTCCCCATGTCCCTATGTCCCTGTCCCCATGTCCTCATCTCCTATCCCCATCCCCTGTCCCCATGTCCCTATGCCCTGTTCTCATGTCCCCATCCCTGTCCCCCTGTCCCTGTCCCCGTCCCTGTGTCCTCATCCCCATCTCTATGTCCCTGTCACCATGTCCTGTTTTCATGTCCCCATCCCCGTCCCCATGTCCCTGTCCCTATCTCCCTGTCCCCCATGTCCCCGTGTCCCTGTCTCCATGTCCCCATCCCCATCTTTATGTCCCTGTCTCCATCCCCATGTCCCCTCATGTCCCCATCCCCATATCCCTATCTCCCTATGTCCCTGTCCCTGTCCCCATGTCCCCATGTCCCTGTCCCCATGTCCCCATCCCCATGTCCCTATCTCCATCCTCATGTCCCTGTCCCTGTGTCCCCATCTCCCTGTCCCTATCTCCATCCCTATGTCCCTGTCCCTGTCCCTGTGTCCCCATGTCCCCATCCCCATGTCCCTATCTCCATCCTCATGTCCCTGTCCCTGTGTCCCCATCTCCCTGTCCCTATCTCCATCCCTATGTCCCTGTCCCTGTCCCCGTGTCCCCATGGTCCCATCCCCATGTCCCTATCTCCATCC